ACTTGGTAGACCAGGCTGGCCTCGAACTCACAGAGATCCACCTGGCTCTGCCTCCCGAGTGCTGGGATTAAAGGCGTGCGCCACCACCGCCCGGCACCAAATTAATTTTTAATACAGACCAGTAAACATTAATTTTGATTATCTTTAAAAATGCCTATAATTTGAAATATATTTTATTATAGCTTTTCATTTGGGGATAAAGGAACCAACATTCAGATCATAACAATATCCACTGTTTCCATCTGCTATATCCATTTCAAGATGCCTGTGAGCTGGCAAGGCAGGGGTCAGGTCATCATGGTTCACCTCTTACCAGAGCCCACCCTGACTGTCCCAATAACACATAACTGCAGTGAAACAGAATGGCAGCCGTTCAGCCGCTCCCTTTATGTCTTTGAAGGATATTCCCCGAGTCTCTCCGATGGCTAATGGCTACCCAGCAGTTTGAGGCAGCAAAGAAGCTGATCCTGTACATCACACAGAAGAACTGTGTGAGCCCTGAGAGCGACATCAAGGGAGTGATGCCCGGTAAGTACACTACGGCTGGCCAGGGTGCCTGAGGGCCGGTCTCGTCTGGCAGAACTGTCCTAGCTAGTGTTTGGTCTGGGATCCTGTGCCCACATGGTTGGCCAAGGTTTGGAAAGGCAGCAGTGGCTGCTGCAGTCTGAAAGTGAAATAAACTGAATAAATAAAATAAAAAATAAACTCAGATTCTCTCGACTTTGGGAGCTAGTTTCTTTGTACACTCATCATGCTCCTTAGAGCCCATACAAAACCAAAAGCAGGGTGCAAGTTGGATACATACCCATCTTTATCGGGCATATTCAGCTGTGTGATACCCAGCACCTCCTTTCCTGACAGCCTACCATGTTGAAAGCCTTGGTTTGAGGTATGGATGGTGTAAGTGACCTCTCTTCTTGAATATGATCTTCCAAGGGCTGCCATTATCTATTTATGGCCATGACCTATTTGTTGGTCAAGGGAAGAAATGGAAACATGAACTATTTTTGTAGAGTGGTTCAGATCCATAGAATTCTTGTGAATCAGGGCATCAGCCAAGCTAAGTGGGGCTTTCAAGCTGGGAGCCCGTAAATGTCACCAGGAAGTTCTTCACAGCCAGGTTCCTGGCTCCTCCCTGACATGCCAAGATGCTGACCTAGAGGATGTGAAAGAAGCCCTAGGAATGTGCATGTGTAGTACGCTCTAGAAGAGACTAATGCAAGGGACCTAGAGAGTCCCTTTGGAAAATGGCAGCTTTGATCCACCATTTTAACATGAAAACCTATATGCTTCATAAAATCCCCAAGGAAAGTAAGAAAGAGAGAGAGAGAGAGAGAGAGAGAGAGAGAGAGAGACAGAGAGATATTATGAATTCTGAATAAGACTAGACTTTCCCAATGACTAGAATCATGTGATGACCATTCATTCAGAATATAGACACTTATTAAGCATCTGATGGCACCCGACACTATGGGAGAACAAAGAAGGAAGCAGGCTAGGCTTGACTCTTAGGGAGCTCAGAGATGGGTTACATATACAGGAGGGTCTTAGATGTGCATTCAGTAGGAGGGATAAAGCAATGAAGCAGAGGATATAGGGTAGTAGCAAGTGGCTGTAGCCAAAGTGACTAGGTAAGCCTGGCTTTGAGACACATGTGAGAACCTGTGCCAGGCAAGAGAACGAACCCTGCAGGTCCCCATTTCCATTGGGGGTGGGGAGAAGTATGAGCAACCTGTATCTTAAGAGCTTTGAGCATCCTTATTGGACTCCCATTCAAGATCTAGGGGCTCAACAAGGGTAGCATACCTATCTTTACCTGTGCCCAGGACACATAGGCTGAGCCACAACTACTTGCTGGGTGTGATGTAGTCTACCAAGTCCTTCAGCTCAGCCAGGAACAGTCAGGCCAACCAAAAGCTCTGAATTCCCAGGACTGAAGGATGCAAGCCATGGCTGGTCTACTTGAAGAGCACTGAATGCTGGCTCTTCAGAGGGGCATCTGAGGCCCCCTTTCTCAGGAGCCGTGACAGTAAACAAGACAATACACAATGCCTATGTGCCAATCCTCTTCTAAATGATGTGCAAAGAGCAACTCATTCTTAATGTTCCATCATATATGTGGAATGCATATGAACCTATTTCTTCTCAGTAGCACATTTATAAGGGATACTATGATGCTCCTTGTTTGCAGATGAGGAGACCATGACACTGAGAGGCTGAGGTGCTTTGCCAGAGGTCAGGTGGCTACTAAGTAGAATGGGAGTTGAACCCAAGAAGTCTAGCCAAAGTGATTTTCTTGTGCTGTTGAGAATAGGGCAACCATGGAGACTTATGGGAAAGGATGCTATTAAGGAACCCTTTGGACTGGGCCAGCTTGGTTTGGACCATGCATAGCTTCCTGTAAGCTTCTGTCCTCAGGTCTTATTGCACGTTTGTCTCTGGCCTTCTAATTAAATCATCACACTCCACTTCTTTCAGGTTAAAATGTTATCTGGGAAAAGCTTGTTTTCTCAATCCTAATTACACTGACTCATGTCCCTATTTTTGGAAAGTGATATTAGCTCTCCTCCAACTTATAAGTTTGGTTGGGGCTTATCTCTCTTCTGTGTCTCAGGCAGGGGGCCAAGTAAGAGGTGATTCCTCCCCCCTCCCCCGTGGTGACTAACAAAGAGGAGAAAGGTTTCACCCTTCACCGGGATGTGTCATTGTATTGTGGTCACTGTGGGATGCTAACTCACCCTGGCTCTCTGTCCCTCCCCCACTCCAGATGCATTCAGCCAACAGTATGCAAAACTGCCCAGCACGTGGGGAAGGAAGTGTCTGTTTTCTCTGGGACTCCAACTTTCTTAGTTCAGAATAGCTTCTCCCATGTAATCATTTAGCATGTGTGGCCCTTTTCTTATCCCTGGGGAGAGAGGTCTACAGGCAGCAGGAGTCATTGGACCTCTTCTACAGAGCCCTCTGTGGGCAACCTCATGGGGGAAGCAATCTAAATGTACCCAAGCTCTCAGTCCCAGGGAGCTGCCCAGGGCATGTTTCCAACTGCCTTCCCTCTCTGCTGGCCTTTGGAAGACATAGAGGGACCAGGACCTCTTCACTGCCTCCTGCATCCAGAGCTCAAAGCATCCACACCAGCCCTGTCATATCCTCAGGGCTTAGCATATGTCAGGACTACCCCCCATTGGTGCCTAGAACCATGGCTAGTGCCTAGCTTTTGACAGGCTTGGTTTTCCCTACAAATGCATATCTAAAATAACATTTAATTTACAAATTAGGCAGAAAAGAGATTAACAACAACTAATAACAAAACTAGAACAATTATGACAATATAATTTATGAGTTTCTCATTTCTGGAATTCTCCATTCAATATTTTCAGACCGGAGTTAGCCTTAGGGAGCTGAGATCTCCATTACTGTGGGCAGCTCTTCCAAGGGGGTTCAAAGAAACACAGAGATGAGCTCCTTCCCAGGTGGGGGACTCTCGCTGCTCCCAGACCTTGTGCACTGACCACAGGGGTCAAGGAAATGTGGAACAGGGATAGACTCACCTGGCGGGTCAACATTAAGTCTGCCGGCGTCTCAGTTTGAAATCCTCTGACAGCACTGAGCCACGAAGGCTGAGGCACGCTGCTCCGGACTCCAAAGAGGCAACCCAATGCTTTCTTATCAGCTGCCAGGCACCCGTTTGCTTTCATCTCCTAATGCAAGAAGTTTGGGCTAGAGAGACAAGAAGCTCCTTGTTTCCAGTGACCGCACAGGGTCTCAGCAGTTAGCTGATGCTTCCTACAATTTAGAATACCCAGAAGAAAATACTTGAAGCTGCCCCCGTTTGATGTTGTTGATGATAGGCCAGTGGTATGAGTACCAGAGACCCTGACGAAATATCAATAGTACTGGAAAAGTTAATTTAATTCCCTTTAGAATAATGCAATTACCACTGTAGACTACAGTCAATTCTTAGACTGGGCTCTAGGGTTTAATGTTATTTCAACAAAACAAAACAAAACCCTCAGGTCATAATACAATTGCTATAGCTTCTTTGACATACTAGTTCATCTGCAATAATACACTAGCAGCTGCATATGGACCACTTTTGAAAAAGAAACAACTTTAAACTCATATAAACATGCTAACGGATGTTTGAATTTCCTTCTTGGATGATTGCTGAGAAAGGGCGCCTATGACAGCTGACTTCTGATGTGTCTGTAACAGTGAAAGTACCCAGACCACTGGGTCTGAGTGTATCTACCAGTCATGTTTACAGTTCTTTAACAAACACAGTCCTGCACTGTGCACCAAAGTGTCTGTCACCAGAGGACCACACACACACAACTCCGGTCCCTAGACTTTTCGCCGAGCAGGACATTTTAAAAGCACTGTGGAGAGTCATAGAGCGAGGTGCATTTCCTCCTGCTTGTGGTGGTGGTCTGATGTGCACTGGCTGCACTGCCAGTTCTCTAGGAGGATGGTGCACACAGTGATAGACAGCGAATAACGACGAGAAGACTGGTGGCTTGTGTCTCCACTCAACCATACTTTTCACTGTCGTTTTAGAATGGCTTCCGTACTTTTAAAGTGTTTCTTACCATGCAGTATACTGTGTGAGTCTGGCAACAGCCTCACGCATCTCCTGTTTTCCATGTCTCTACCCAGAAGCCAAATGGTATCGTCTAGGGTTCTGTGAGCCCTCTGTGATATTTAAACAATGACAGAATCGCCTGATGACATAATTCTCAGACTGTATCCCCTGACCTGCTCATTAAGTGATTCATGAGTGTATTGTTCTTTAACCATAGAGAAAGGGCATCAATAAGTCAAATTAGCCTGTTTTTGCTGAGATGAAATAGGTCAGGAGACTTCTGGAGCTGAGAGGGTCTGTGGAGAGGCAGCCAGAATACCAGCCATGTTAGCCTATGCCAAATTCTCACCCTAAATATGAAAAGGAAGAACATTCTGGAAACTTGGCACATTCTCCTTCAGTCATAGGAAAGATTTATTCTGTCTTTTCTATGTCCTGGCTGGGGCGACACTGAGTCTAAAATTTATTTAGCGCTAAGTATGATTGCATATGCTCAGAATCCCAAGAATTTATGAATCTTGAGGCCAGAGGAGCACTTGACCTATGAGTTTGGGACCAGTCTGAGAAACATAATAGTACCCCATCTTTAACATTAAACAAAAATAGTTAAATAAAAGAAATGTCTAAATGTCCTACCCCCCCCCATGTGCACACCTCTTTTACCCCACCATATAAACCTGGCTGGCCTGGAAGTCTCTGTGTAGAGCAGGCTGGCCTCAAACTCACGAGATATTGTGTATGCCACCATATAGCTCACTGGACTACTAGCTCCCTATTTAAAATAAGTTTATTTTTCCTTCAAACTGTTATGAATGAGGTTTGTGAAAAAGGAAATAGAAGGAGAGTTGGAACATCCAGGACGGATGTGACCTAGAGAGGTGCATCCTTCAGGGAGGCAGGAAGCAGCAGCTGTCGTTACTCCACATCTAGGGACTATTTCACAACCTCCAGGATGCCAAAACTCACAGGAGCTCAGCTTCCTTGTATGTAATGGTATAGTGTTTGTAAAGAGCCCACACACAATCTCCTGTGCACACTAGATGATCTCTGAGCTACTCATGATGGCCAGTGCTGGGAAAATAGTTGTTATACTATTTTGTTTAGGGAATAGTAACAAGAAGTGTATGTGTTCAGTCCAGATACAATTTTTCAGATAATTTTGATGGTGGTTATTTAAATCCAAGGCTTCCGAACCCAGACACACAAAGAGGGTAGTATGTGCCTCCAAGTCCCTAGTCTCACAGACATTTTTAAAATTTAAATGTCTTATTTTGAAACTAGTTCACATATGCAGGAAGTTGAGACAGTGCAGAGCTTGTTTATACTCCTGACTCAGTTTCCCCCATTGCTAAGGTCTGATATTACCATGGCACATTTGTCAAAACTAGGAAACTGGACACAAGTATACACGGTTGTTAGCCAAGTGCCAGCCTCTACTCAGAGCTGGCTTTCTTATCACTGGCCCCTAGTGTAGCTAGAGTTTTTCTGGTCCTGCCTGGCCCACGGTCAGGACAAATCTCTCTCACCCGCCAGTCCGGCAGCCGCTCAGACCCAACCAAGTAAACACATAGAGACTTATATTACTTATAAACTGTAATGGCCGTGGCAGGCTTCTTGCTAACTGTTCTTATATCTTAAATCAACCCATTTCTATTCATCTATAAGTTGCCCCGTGGCTTGTGGCTTACCGGTATCTTAACATTTCCTCATGGCAGTGGCTGGCAGTGTCTCTCCACCTCAGCCTTCCACTTCCCAGAATTCTCTTCTCTGCTTGTCCTGCCTATACTTCCTGCCTGGCTACTGGCCAATCAGCATTTTATCTATACAGAGTGATATCCACAGCACCCTCGTGCTCCAGGGTGCAGTTTGCCATCACCTGGCCACCGCCTTCTCTGGTCTTGACAGTTCCCCAGTTTTTCCTTGTTTTCATGACCTTGGTGGTCTTAATGGCGTGGGTTCCTTATGGGCCTGGGAAGCATCCTTTCTGTTTTAGCTTCTAAGTAGAGGATGACTCCACAGGGACAAGCCAGCTAGGAAGCAGAAAGGCCCAGAAGGCTGAGTGTGAGCACTGCTCTCAAAGTAGTAACCACATAGGTCCCTCCGCATGAGGCATTTCCCACGTCCTGATCTTTCCCATTAGATTGCCAGGCCAGCCCCAGGACTTGAGCAAATTCCCAGCTAGGCTGGAGGGACACTGGAGCACTGTTAGACGGGAGGCTAGGATGAGCCTCACAAGAGCCTTAGTCCCATAGCTTCAGAGTCTGTCACATCGCTAAGCCTAATGCATTGTCCATTTTGTTCCACTTCCAAACACTTTGATTTTTGAGTTCTGGGAATGGAACCTAGGGCTTCGTGCCTCCTAGGCACAGATTGTAGCACTGATCTGTACCCCATTCCCTGAAGCATTTCAACTGTTAACTGAAGCATGCACAAATGTGTGTGCGTGCATCTGTGTATCTGTGTGTATACAGACAAACACACATATCTTTTTATTTGTCTTTCAGACATTAGCATCCTCTAAAGACAGTTGTGTGTAGCTTCAGTCCTAAGACATTCTATCTCCCCAAGATGAAGGTGCATCTGAGCTTGTAGTTTTGCAGGCCTCTGAGCTGTAATGGACACAGGTGGTAGCAGCTTCCAGCAGAAAGAAATCACCTGCTGTATGTGCAGGACCTAACTTAGGCCTTAGTAGTTTAGTCCCATCATGGAGTGATGTGTTGAGACAAAATGAATGGAGTGTGTCTGTCTGTGTGTACCTGGTCTGAGCTTGGGTAGAAATGAACACTGACAGTGTGCTTTGCACCCTTTTAGTTGTGATGGGAAATCTGTCTGCCACATGAGTAGCATGAGCACATTTCTACACATAAACCTAGACCCTCTCCCCTGGCTTAAAGGCAAAGACTTTCTCCTTTTCAAATGGATAGGGAAACCAAAGCTGTGTTGTAGCCATGTCTGGAACCTTCTATCCTGCTCAAGCTCCTGGGTCTGTCTCTTGCAGAGCTAGAGAAAGAACTTTCACGGAGGCCCAAGAAGGTGTGCATCGTGAAGGTGGTGGGGACGCGGAACCTGTGGAAAAATATCGTGGTTCTATGTGTCAACTCGTAAGTCATGGGAAACACATGGAGTCAGAACCAGAGGGACCCTCCTCCCACCCCTAGGTGAACTCTGAATCCCAGTCTGCCCCATGCCCACCTGTCACACCCTGTCTCTATGAAAGAGGCCCCAGAAGTATGCCTGGGTTGCCCAGCTGTAGGTTTGAAGGAAGATAGGACTCAAGGATACCTACCATGTCACCAAGAAGCCTAGGCAGCCAGCACTGAACATTGCCCTCAGCCCAGCCACCTGCCCTATGCCAGTGTCCTGTATGGCGCTAGAGCTCCTAGGGCTTTGAGCATAAAGAGGCCAGGAGGTCTGGTGAGGTCCTGCACACACCTATGGCCTCAGAACAATACTCTCCCTCGGCATTTTATGAGAGTGACTCTGATAGTCTCCTTCATCCAGTTCTAGGGAACTCCCAAGGCTGGAGTTCCTGGCGCTGTCTAGGGACAAGGGTTGATCCCACGGAGCCAGAGCCCTTCACCCAGGCTCCAAAGAGCTGCTCTCCTGGCCACCAGCCCACCTGCTCAGAGGCCCAAGCTCTGCAGAGGGCAGCTGCAGTCAGTGGCATGTTGCCTCAATGCAGAGGAGGAACTCAGGCTCCCTCAAGAGGCCTCTCCATACAGCTTCCCCTCTGCCTGCTGAGTCTGTGGCTCGTGCAGTTTTATGGCCGCCCCAGTTCCAGGGCTAGGTGTGTACCTGGAAGTTCCTTCCGGTCTGACCTCACAGCTCCATAACCTCGTCCTCCCTAGCTGTACACAGTGGACCTTTGGTTAGAGTAGAGGTCATCTGGGAGGAGGGATCAGCTATCAGCAGGCATTAGAGGTCATCTAGGAGGAGGGATTTAGACTTTTGTGTGTATGTATGAAAGACCTCAAAGCTGTCTTCAAGAAGAGAGGCTAGGGTCGCAGCCTCCCATTCTTTATAGCTCCCCTGCTACAACAGCTCCATGAAACATGAAATACTGAGGGACTCAATTCACTTGTGAGGTACAAAAGGTGTCACTATCCATCAACAGAGCAAAGATCTAATCACAGTCAGATCCTACAGCGCTAATCCAGCCAAGCCACACAGAGGCCAGACCCAGAGCCCTCAGGCCTTCCCTTCCTACCCGCTCTAGCACCAACCAAGATGCACCCTTTATCCGTCTGCTGGTCTGCCAAGTGGCTATGACCATGTTCTTGTGCTGACATGAGAGTGAATGAGCACACAGAAGGCGTTTTGTCCTGCCCTTGGGTGAACAAAGGACCTCACAGATGTTTCTTGGATGTCTCTTTGAATTTAACTCCCTCATGGGTCCACATGTGGTGGCAGCATGTAAAATGCTTCTGTCTCTCAGGCATCCCCAGGAGACTGGGCAGCCCCTTATCTCAGTGCATGCTGCCCACCCTCTCAGTGTGTGTGTGTATGTGTGTGTGTGTGTCTCCTGCAGGCTGACAGGCTACGGGATCCACCACTGCTTTGCAAGAAGCATGATGGGCCACGAGGTGAAGGTGCCGCTTCTGGAGAACTTCTACGCCGACTACTACACCATGGCCAGCATCGCACTGGCCTCCTGCCTGGCCATGTGTGTGGTAGTCAGGTTCCTCGGGCGCAGGGGAGGGCTGCTGCTCTTTATGATCCTCACCGCCCTGGCCTCACTTCTGCAGCTTGGACTCCTCAACTGTGAGTAGGCTGGAAAAGGAAGGATGCTGGGGAGGCGGGGGGGGGGGGGTGGCATTCCACCAGAGAACTTGGGAGGCATGGCCGCTTTCGGTTTCTGTGACAAAATACCTGAGATAATCAATTTAAAGAGGGGAGGGTCTGTTTGGCTTATAGATTGGGGGTTTTCAAGTAGCCCATGGTTTGTTGGTCCATTTGGGCCTGTACTAAGTAAGGCAACACATCGTGACAGGAGCCTATGGCAGGGGAGTCTACTCACTTCATGACATGCAGAAACAACAGGAGAGAGGGGTCTATGGTCCAAATGTCCTCTTTAAGGACATACCTCCAAGTGTGTGAATTTCTTCCCATGAGGCTCCACTTCATAAAGGTCTGCCTCCCAGTACTGCCCTGGGTAGAGAACAAGTCTTCACCCTATGGTCTTAGGGGGACTTTAATGATCCAAATTATAGTGGAAGGATAGGGTGAGACTTGAGAAAAGTCTTCCGTGACCTGAGTGATAATTCTGAAATCGACAGCCACAAGAACTTGCTTCAACAAGGACGGAGTTTAAGTAGAACATCTTGGCCTCTTCCTCTGAGAACTGCTGGGTCCCCTCCTCCTCTGACCCCCCAGGCCTGTCACCCCAAATCAGAGTCCTCTGGCTGCACTGTGACTCCTCAGCATGCCAAGCTTCTGTGTCTCAGTAAACAGGACTTCACAATGGCCAGACTGTTCATGAGCTTTTCACATAAGGACAAAGACATGTTTCCTTCTATGACAGTAGGAGAAAAAATCTGGACATTCTTGCGTGGGATACAGCTTTTCTATCTATGTTCCCAAATATATCTATTCTGTAAAAGTTACAAATCACCTTAACACAAATCTAGAGAGTCCGTTTAATCCTCCAGCAAGCTCTGTATAGTCCTCATAAACAACCACCCACCTGTGTGTAAGAAAATCCCCCTGCCTCCTCCCCCAGTGCCCAGAACACAATGCGGACCACTGGCATCTTCTCATGCCCATACCCTTCCTTTGGGACAAGTTCAGGACACTACTAGGAAATGTGTCCCATTGAACACCCATCTTTGGAGGAAAGCTAACCCCACTGCAGAGTGAGACTTACCTACTGCCCTTCACACTACTACCACAGTAGCCTTCCTGTGGTCCAGGTTAGAGAAGAGCCAGTTTCAAATGCTGGCGGTTTTCCTAACTTAGGCACGTTCTTATGGGTTCTGTACCTTGATGGGCAATAACCAATGTGAACAAGTGGTAGCCCTTCTCCCTGCCTCCCTGGGTGGACACTACCTAGCTGCCCTTCGAGAAAGTCTCTGTCTAACTTACCCAGTTAGGGCATATGTGGCAGGATAGCCTCCAGAGTATCCCATGTGCCCTCATTGACAGTGAACAGAAGTGCCACAGGGACTCTTGGCAAAGGGCAAGTAGCTGTGAGGAATAGGGTTTGGGGGAGCAGAAATGTGGCCGGACAGGCCTGCTCCCAATGCCCAATGTCCCTTGGCACAGACCAAGAGTACCATTTGAATAACTTTCTATCCAAAGATGCTCCCTTTAGATCTGCTTGGGTCCTCTCTCAGACTGCATTGTCTCCCAGACTCTGTGGCCAATAGGCCATAGCCTTCTCTTCAAACAAAAAGGTCTTTGTTTAGTCCAGTATGAATTCTACTGCCCAGGCAGCCAGCACCAACTCAGACTTAAAAGGAAGTTCACTTAGAAACAAGTCACATGGGAACACTCGGCAGCTGTCCCGTACCTAACAAGCCTTCTCCGTCTCTTCCCATTCTCATTACCCTGTGATGTGGGCGCAACCATCCCATGGCTCCAGTGATTGGCAAATACAGCCAGCATCCAGACTCAGGTGAGTCCTACACACTTGTGCTGCCCTGTCTTTTATTACGGCCACACAACAGTTGCCACCGAGACTCACCAACTGGTTTTCCTTTCCTCTCTTTCTTCCTACTCTGCCCTTCAAGAATTGCAGCTGAAGTTGGCCGTAGGTTGGACACTATAAGCATACATTTGTATTCTCTATCCCCCGTCTTGCACTAGAGAAAGCAACTCGTGCTTCCCTGGTTTTGTGCAGCTTGGCATGCATGCCCTCCCAGTCCCCTGGTCCAGCGCCGGTGCTCTTTGTCCTTGGCCAGCAGCTAATCAGGATGAGAAGGCAGGAGGGCTGGGGCTTGGCGGTCCGCGCTGTAGGGAGAGCCATTATTCCCTCATGACTCATGGGAGCTTGCTGCTCTCCAACTGGGGAGCAGCAGAGGTGCTACCTCGTACCCTGTGCTGCTGTCCCACCTGCCTGGCGCAACCAAGCCCACGCCACCACTGCCCGTGAGAGCACTTGCCTTCCATGCAACACCTAGGGGAGCTGAGCTGAGCTAAGAAGTGCAGCCCCCATGCATGCCAAAACACTGTGTGCGGTGCTGCCTTGTGCCAACCGGGATCCAGTGCCACCGCCGGGTGCAGAGATCGCTTTGCGCTTCCCCTCCCTCTGGGACCCTGAATTATTCTGTGTGGGTCATGTGTGGTTTTGTAACCTTTAAGTCAACATTGACTCTGGATTGGGTGGGTCAACCCTGAGGTCGCAGTCTGGAGTCCAGGCAGAGAGTATGTCACTGTGGCAGCAGGGGCACCCCAGTCTGCCTTCTGCCTGGCATAGCTTCTGGATGAGGAATTCTACAGGCCACTGTGAGCTCAGCATGCCAGGTGCCCAAGGCACCTACAGAAGCGAACAGCAGAATGTTTAAAGGGCCCCAGGGTCCTCAGCCTAGAGGACTGCCACCCAGAGGCCACTGCATGCTCAATTGTACCACAAACTGGACACTGGGGAGGAGGGGGCTCCTGGGAGATCCCAGGCTTCCCTTCCCCCGATCCTCACTCCAGTTTACCCCTTGCCTGGCTTCTGTTCTCTTCCCTTCTCTCCTACCTCATGGTTCCCTTCTTTGGATTCTCATCCAGGGATGAGTGACAGCGTCAAGGACAAGTTCTCCATCGCATTTTCTATCGTGGGCATGTTTGCATCCCATGCAGTGGGGAGCCTCAGCGTGTTCTTCTGTGCAGAGATCACCCCCACAGTCATAAGGTGAGTGACAGGGTAATGTGGGACTTTTTTCTCAGAACTCAAGCTTGGTCCTTGTCTAGAGAGGCCTGTGAGAAAGGAACTGTCATCAGATCTGCCCCAGCGAGGCTTCTGGACCAGGGTGTGGTGGCATGCAGGGCATGTTGTCTGCCTGACTATGATCAGCTGCACCCTGACTCACAGAGGTGGGAACTTAGCCTTAAATGCCATCACGGCAGTTACCAGGGGCATGGAGACAAGGAACTGTTTAAGGTACAGGAAACATGACAAGGAATAGAAAGGGGAGAGATAAGTAAGTCATTCTTGCCAATCTGCAGTAAAAATCAGCACTGTCCACTGAGAGACTCAGGAACAAGCTATCTCAGACAAAAAGAAAGCTAAGTGTACATCCCACCTGTAATCCTAGATTCTCAGGAGGCTGAAGCAGGGGGTAGAGACTTCTAGGCCAGCATGGCCTATACTGCCAGACTCCATCTCAGCAAGAAGATGAGGACTGGGGATGTAGTTGAGTTGTTTGCCTAGCATGTGCAAAACCCTGGGTTCAATCCCCAGCACCCCATAAACTGGATGTGGTGGTACATGCCTGTAATCCCAGCACTTGGGATGGGGGAAGCTGAAGGATCAGAAAGGTCCAAGGTCAGCCTAGGCCATATGTACAAACAAATTAGATAGAACCTTTTTTTTTCTTCCAAGCCTGAGAAACTGGTCACTAGTCCAAAATTATATCAATGACTTAGTTAAGAAACAAATCAAGAGCCTAATACTTGGCAGGCATTCGGCTGGGTTAATAAGGCAGCACAGCCTCAGGCCTGGGAGAAGTTTCTCTTTTCCTCCTACTTTCCTAAGAGGTTGTAAGTGTCTGTCTGTAAAGTGACATTACTGTCCCTGGGTCATGAAGCACAGCATTCGATCCCACTGGGATTGTAGTATAGGAAAATTAGGATACTTGAAAGGGCATCACTTAACTGCATCCCTCTACCAGATACCCTCTTCCCAACACAGGTTGAACATTACTCAAAACCTGACATCTAAAACACTCCCAACCCCAACATAGTTTGTTTGTTTTGACATGGCAGCCAAAAAAAAAAAAAAAATCGTCAATGGAACAAACAAAATTTGTCCATAAAATTCTGTTTCATGGACAAAATTGCTTTACATGTTGTATAAAATGACCTTCAAGCTCCACAAGGCATATATGAGACATAAACAAATCTGTGTTTAGACTGAGATCTCCTCCCCAAGATATCTCATGATGTGTATGCAAATATTCCAAGTTCACAGTTCCAAAATCCAGAAGCATTTGAGTAAGAGACCCCACCTGCACTTGCCATTTGTTACTTACTGAAGGGTTTGCTTGGTTTGTATCACACTGAGCTCCTTATTGGAATGGCATTAGCATTTCTAATGCACATGCTCGCTTGAAATTGTGAGTGGGCAGTTATTCAGCTGTGAGCTGAAACCCAGAAGTCAGCACGATGACACCCTTCAGAAGAACAAGCAAGCTTGTTCCAGTTCAGATGGGACTCGGAGAGACTAATTATTTTAGGCCCTCTGGTGCTGGGAGGGCTTGGGGAGCAGGTAGACGGGTCTGTGGACTTACCTCCTTGCTGACAACAGAATTTTCTCATGACCTCATTTTGACTCATTCTCTTGAATTTTTACAATACAAGCCAAGGCTGCTGGCTATTGGCTCCTGTAATAAAATACCTAGTCATTGTATATTTAAGAAAAAGCAATTAGGTGTCTAGTAAGCCCTCTAGTTCTCTACCTTCTGCATGAGCCAAAGCCAGATGGAGCAGAAGCTTGTTTTGTGCTTGCAATTGTGAAACACTGAAGGTAAACTACCCTTCCCCCGCCTAGTTAAATTCCCTCCTTTATAAAAGAATGCAGGAAGGCAATCTCCCAGCGAGAGTGCAAGTCTGCACTAGTCCTGGGTTTCTGGTAGCCACTGGCAGCCATGGCATGACTCTGGCCTCCTTGTCAGTGTGCTTAGCAAGCTAGATGGAAAGAAATATGGTATCCTTTTCCTCTCTGATGCAAATCTGGAAAAAATTATTTGGGGATAGGAATTGAACAAATACATTCTAAAGTTCAGCTTTCCAGGATGACAAACCAGAAAAATATTTGGCCCTGGGTGATGTTTAGTACCTGCAGAGAGCGAAAGGAAATTGAGTCCAGTTCCTAGCCAGGCTGGAAGAGTCTCTATGGGAACTCTTCCCACCGTGGTTTGTGCAGCTTTTTCTTGCAAATACACCCATGAAGAATTCCCAGGAGAGCCACAGGATAAACATGCAACTTCCTCCATACCACCCACTCTGCACAGAAAAACCCGAGATAATTGAGGGTGGACTCCATGGGCTTTCTCTTTCTTATGACAGTCTTGCCTTTTTACATAATACTATGTGGAAAAGAAACCTTTGAAGCAAGAACAGCAGTGTCTTAGATAGGGCTACTCTTGCTGTGATGAAACACTATGGCCAAAAGCAAGTTGGAAAGGAAAAAATTTACTTTGCTTACACGTCCACATCACTGTTCATCATGAGAGGAGGTCAGAACAAGAGCTCAAACAGGGCAGGAACTGGGAGGTAGGTGCTGATGCAGAGGCATGGAGGAGTGCCGCTTACTGGTTTGTTCCCCATGGCTTGCATTGTTATACAGTCCAGGACCACCAGTCCAGGCATGGCACTGGTTACAATGGGCCTTCCTCCATCAGGCACAAGCTAAGAAAATGCCCTACAGGCTTGCCTACAGCCCGATCTCATGGGGGTATTTACTCAATTGGGGTTCCCTCCTCTCAGATGACTCTAGCCTGTGTCGAGTTGATGTAGAACTATCTACCCCCAAGACCTCCAGTCTGCCAGCACTACCGCTTCCCTCATTCCCCCACCCGAACTGCCAAAGGGGAGAATAAGCCTTCCTTCCCCATGTTGGGATGGGTGAGGACAAGGGAAGAGAATGGGCAGGTGCCAGTGACCCTGAGAAGCTGGCTTCATGGTCTGCCTAATTCCTCACTGGTCTGTGGAGACCTGGTCATGGGCTTTCCGTCCTTGCGCCATGCACTATCCCTGCTTCTCTGTCCACTAACTACTGCTTGCCTGCTGCTCAGGCGGCCCCATCCCTTTACTCTGGTCCAGATCATTTGCATCAGACTGGCCTGGAGACCCTTCCCTCTGAGCAAGGTCTCCATGTCTGTCTTCTGCCCTGATGTTGCCTCAAGACAAGGCATCACAGGGAAAGATTTGCCGTCCATCCCCATGACTTATACAAAGGTACAGCCAACCACAAATAGACAGCATTTGTTTAAAGAAATGATGCACCTGAGTGTAGCCCAATGGTACAGCATGTGCTGACCATGTACACAACCCAGAGTTCAATCCCTAACACCAACACCCACACCCAATAAACTATGACTACTGAACATGTACAGTCTTTACCATTACCCCCTAAATACAGCAAACACCTATTTACACTGCATTTGCATTGTGTTCAGTATTATGAATAATGGTAAGTGATGTAAAGATTGCAAAAATTATGTAGGTTCCATGCACTACTACAGAATTTTCTAAAAGGGACTCTAGCATCTGAAGACCTGGGGGTTCTTGGAAATAGCCCCCCACAGACACCAAGTGATAACTGTATATGTAACTCCACAAATGGCAATTCGTGTTACTGTTCATACCTGGATAGTTATTTCTGAGCAAATGAGCGCAATATTTGTGCATCCTTCAGTTCACAGAAATGCAGTCAAGAAAAGCTAAGAAATGTAAAAGAGGAAGTAAAAAATGGAGGGGAGGCTTGTTCATGTTTATATGCAAGTTGGTGGTTCACGTTTATTTCTGATCCACACTTTGTTCCCTCTAGTAAGGCTGCCTGTTTGGTCATGGTGGTTTAGAGGTCGTTACCCACAGTAAAGCTATCCGGTGGGTAGTAAAAACATTATGCTTCTAAGAAACACGGTTCTCTTTTGTCTCTTAGAAGCTTCACTGATGTATACACATGGGTTTAGGCTGCCCTCTAGTGAACACCCAGAGCAACAGCACGTGCCTATGACAGCCTTTTGGAGGGAAACGATCCCTAAAGCCTTCAAATGACAAAAACAAAAATGGCATACCATTTTCCTACAAAATTATCTGTAATATTATTAAATCCAAGGAATCAGTGATACTGAAACAGAAGACATACAACTGTTTCAAACATTGCTTAACAACAGGACATGTGAGGAGAAATAAGTCACTATCAGATGCTGTCATCATGCAGACATCCTAGAGTAACTTATGCGCACCTAGATGCTCAATGTTGTTTACTCTGTGGCCTCTTGATGCAGTCAAGAGGCAGTAAATGATACCGGAGGTGTTGGTGGTATAGTGCATAAGCTCTCTCTGTGTAGCCCAGGCTGGCCTTGAACTCATTGTTCTCGTTCTCAGCCTCCAGAGTGCTGGGATTACAAGGCATGCTACCACATGGGGCAAACTTTTTTTTTTAAGTAGAAATGCTTTATAATAGGATGTAACCCATACCCACAACAGAACCATTTAGCACCCTAGAGTATTAGGTATTGCATATCATTCTACATGCTGTCTTTAAATATGATTGACAGTGCAGTAGGTCTGCCTACACCAGTAATGCTACAATCATGTAGGAATGGGCTGTGCCATGATAGCTGTTACAGCAGCAGCTATATTATCCACAGAATGTTCCCTTTCACTATAATCCTACGAGACCACTACCATATATGCAGTTTTCCCCTGGCTAGAATGTTATGTATCACAGTGGAATTTGCATTACCCATGCATATGAACATACTGAATATCATATGCATATTTCTATATTTAAATGAGCTGCAAATTGAATATACTTCACTCAACATTATTTATTAATATGATATATTACTTTGATATCATTCACTTAGTGTCATGTGAGACTCTCCTGGGGTTGAGCACTTCACACACTCCTTACATCAGGGACTGTATTCTGCTTTCCTGCATGGCAACTCTACATGGGCAAGGGTGCCAGCCTCACTTGGTGCCAGCTGAGAAAGCAAAAACCAGAGAAAAACAACCTTCCTGATGTCAAAGGTCCCAATCGAACAGGTCCCTGACATCTGATGTACCCCTCACATCCTGTGGCTCCCCAAAGCAGGGAGATTTACCAAAAATCCTGAATGGCCATTTAGGTATTCATATTATTCACCTGATTGGGGGGGGGGGTGCTCAATCTCATTGCTCTCCAGGAAGCATGATCTATGGGCTTAATAATAATCCATTATTTATTACATGCAAACTCTGAGACAGCTGATGGTCTAGGAAACAATCCTTGCCCTTGAAGGGTTCACGGAGGAACAAGAGCAATAGGCTTAGGAGCAAATGTTGACAGAAAGATGTCAGTGTCTTTAAAAGGTGGGCTAGGACACAGCTTTGGAAAGGGCTGGTATCCAGACAGCACCAAAAAAAAGTAGTCCCTCCTCAGCACACGCCTCGCCGGGCCAGCAGTGGGGCTTTCTCTGTGGCTCTTTCAGTGCTCCCTTGGTGAAGAACTGTCTAATTCAAGGTACTGAAGACCTGGCAGCCTGGGCAAGAGGTTCTACAGCTAAGGTTGGGCATTCCAGCTACAGTGCTTATCTGTTCCTGCACAGCAAACGACTCCAATTCTATGGCTTGTGCTAATGTCTCTAGGTCAGTGGTCTGGACAACGCTTGGCTGTACCCTTGTTCCAAGCCCCATGCGCCACAGTCCCCAGAGATAGGAGGCTCGGCAGTCATTGGCAGGATCCAGTTCTTCGTGAGTTGCAGAACGTTAACTGGGGGCCATCTCTCCTCCTGCTACGTGTTCCAACAACACAGGAGCTTGCTTCATCATAGCCGGAGTCTGTGCACCGTATTTGTGGAAGGGACATCTCATAAGTTTTGCAATACTTTATTGGCAAGAAATTACTTATTTGTTCCAGACCCAATATAAGGCAAAGGTCAAGAGTACTGGGAAATGGGAATCATTATCTTAGGAATCTGACACAGTACCAAGTAATGCCCGAGGGCCAGCTGGCCAGGTCTTACACAGTTACTGAGAGAATACTAGGGACTACAGACTGAGCCAGATTTGGTCGTTCTTGAACACTTCTCAAGTGAGGAAACATGGAGACATGAACCGTGAGGATGTGGTCTCTGAGAGAGAGGACTCAGGGAGGCCTGGAGCAGCTCTGCAGCTTGCTTAGCCTGGATTCCACAGAACTCACCGGGGAGTCCCAAGGAAGCCAACAGGAACCGTTGGGCACTGTGCCTGGGAGGAGGTGAGCGCTCTGAGTCATGTCCCAGACATCAGCTCAGGATTGGTCTGAGGATCTTACTCTTAATAGGGCCCCTGAGAGGCCCCTGAGCAGTCGTAGGTGGCACAGAGAGGGAACAGTCTGGGCTCTTGGGAAGAAGAGGTGAGGCTGGCAGCTGCCTCACTCAGACCATGAGATGATGGGGATCTGGACCAGCTGGCCTGGCTCCACAGTGGGAACAGTTTGGAAGTTAGCAGTTTTAGTGGAATGTACTTTACATAGGACTCATCTGTGTAGATGTATATGTAGTCCATCACCCTCCAATCATAAACCACGTCCATCACCCCTCTAAAGAAAGTCTCATCCGCTTTGTACTTTCTACCCTCACTCCTAGAACCAATCACTGTCCTGCTTTCTGTCTCTCTGGAGCAACATTTCTGACATTTCATATCAATGGAATCGTGCAATCAGCATGATTTTTTTTCATGATGTAACACGTAGTGTTTCATGTGTTAAATGGGTAATATTCCATTATATATGGACATGCCACATTTTATTTCTCACCAGTTGATAGACATTTGGATTGTTCCCGGTGTTATAAGGCATAAACATTGTAGATTTTTGTTTATATTATGTTTTTAATTGTTCTATACATAAAATTGCTAGTTATATAAAAATGTATGTTTCCTTTTAAGAAAATGTTGACCTGTATTCCATCCTGTTACCAGGAGGCTATCAGAGAACTGCAGCCCCTCTAGGTCCTGGCCACCATGTTGTTCTGTCCTTTATTCCAGGCTTGCTCGCAGGTCTGAAGTGGCCTTTCAGTGTGGTTTGATTTGCAATTCATCGACTCAGGCTTCTCTCTCTAGATGTTTGCAGTTTGTCGTGTGTGTGTGTGTGTGTGTGTGTGTGTGTGTGTGTGTGTGTGTGTGTGTGTGTTGAAATGCTTGTCAATACCTTTTCCCCATTTTTCAAGCCAAGTTGAGTTCATACAGATTATGAACTTACATCCTTTGTCAGAGGCAGGCTTTGAAAGCATTTCTTCCAAACTGTGTGGCTTCTACTTCTGAATTATGTGTCTTCTGAAGGGGAAAAGAAAGTGATTTGGGGGCTGGAGAGATGGCTCAGAGGTTAAGAGCACTGCTTGCTCTTCCAAAGGTCCTGAGTTCAATTCCCAGCAACCACATGGTGGCTCACAACCATCTGTAATGAGAACTGGCGCCCTCTTCTGGCCTGCAGGGATACATGCAGGCAGAATACTGTATACATAATAAATAAATCTTAAAAAAAAAAAAAAAAAGAAAGAAAGAAAAGAAAGAAAGTGATTTTGACTGAGTCTAGCTGATCAGTTTCTATGCTGACCCAAGGTCAGGGTCATCTTCCCTGACATTTTCTGGGAGTCAGTTCATTTCCTGTGGTGTGAAGGAGACCCTGCCTTCATTCTTTAGCACATGGACTACCCTGCTGTGCCAACACTGCTTGTTACATAGCTGCTCTTTGCCCCACATGCATGCCTTTGTCAAAATCCACTGGCCGCCAGTGTAAAGCCCTGTTTCTGAACCCTCGCTGTTCTGTGGATTTGCCTCTCAGTGCCACCATACTGATTGGCCCATCTTCTAAGTTTCACAATGGAGACAGTAGGTCCTCCTCTATTCCTGTCTCAAAATCCCCTCCTGACTATTCTGAGTCTTCTGAACTACCGTGTGAATTTTTGGATAAGTTTATTCTCAGCTAAGATTTTGATAAAGATTGGGAAGAATCCATAGCTCGATTAGGGAAGACTTACTATCTTCACACCAGCAAGTCTTCCAATCCATTTACTTTGAGCTTCTTAAACTTGCCATCAACAAAGCCCTGTAGCTTTCAGCATGTGAGCCTTGCATTTGCTTTCTTGGAAACATTTTCATTTCATTTCTGAATTTGGTGTTAGTATACAGGCATGTTGTGTTGACCTTGTATCTTGGTACTTTGTAGGGTAGTCTTTTCTGACTTGGGAGCCACCTATAGTACCAAGTAAGAAAACCATTAATTGTTCAAAGCTGCTTCCCAGCGACAGCAGGCACTTTCCCTTCGGCCATTTCCACTCCATGTTTGAGAACAAGGTTCCTGTGCCGGATGGTGCATAAGTCTTGAGCATCTCCTTTGTAAGGTTCCTCCCGAAGTCGACATCCCTGTACATCCTCTCCGCTGTTCCTGAGGGTGGGCAGGCAACAGTATTCCTCCTGCTGGACATAAGACCACCTCCACCTGTCCCCTGGGCCTGGGGACTGGAGACCAGGCAGTTTTCTGTCCTATTACCTGGGCACTACAGATGGTACTCCATTCCACCACCATACCACTGCTTAGTACCTACAGAGCACCATTAGTCCCAGGAATGTTTTAGGTCAATGTTAGAGCCATGGAAGGAGGGTGTCTAAAAGTGTTGCATGTCCCGTAATCTCTCTGGGATTCTCGAGGGTTCCTCACTTGCCAGAGGAATAGAGATAAATCATTCCCACTAAGGGTCTGGCCTAGCTGATCTCAAAGTTGTAGGAATCCACAGGCGCAGCCAAGGTGAAGGTGGCTTGGGATGGCCCACCTCTGGGGAACGCTGGGTAGTTCCAACCAGAGCGGGCCCCAATACAGAGACAGAACATCCCTGTGCTTCAATCCATTTTCTGTTGTAGTAACTGACAATTTATAAAGGATACAACTTGTTCGGCTATGGTTCTGGAGGCTGAGAGGTCCAATGTAGGGGGCTGTACAAGGATCCTTGATAAAGGGGACTCTGCAGAATTCCAAGGTAGTGCAGGGCATCCCGTGGTGACACAGCAAATATGCTAGCTCAGGCTTTTCCTCACCTTATAAAGGCCTATAAAATTATCATCACGGGGGCCCCAACCTTTTGACTGAATTTAATATTCATTATTCCCAAAGGCCCCATATCTGAATTCCATTTGAATTTGAGGATTAGGTTTCTAATAGTGGAAGTTTGTAGGACCTGTCTAAACCAGAGCAATGCTGTGTGAGCTTGCCCTAGTAGCCCATCAAGCTGCTGTCTCATTCCACTTGTATCACACACTGTATGCTCCATTTAATCCTGTGCTCTCTCCCCCTGCAGGTGTGGCGGGCTGGGGCTGGTGCTGGCCAGTGCAGGCTTCGGCATGCTGACAGCACCCATCATTGAGCTGCACAACCAGAAAGGCTACTTCCTGCACCACATCATCTTCGCCTGCTGCACGCTCATCTGCATCATTTGCATCCTCCTGCTGCCTGAGAGCAGGGACCAGAACCTGCCCGAGAACATCGCCAACGGGGAACACTACACGCGGCAGCCATTGTTACCACACAAGAAGGGAGAGCAGCCCCTGCTGCTGACCAACGCGGAGCTCAAGGACTACTCCGGCCTGCACGACGTGGCTGCCGTGGGTGACGGGCTGCCGGAGGGGGCCACGGCCAACGGCATGAAGTCCATGTAGCTCGCTGGGCCACACCACCATTCCACCAGTCCCCTGAGGCGTGAAGGGCTGGGGAAAGTTTGCACACGGATTTATAGACCAGAGAGAAGACACATGGCTGGGGGAGGAAGCCCAACTCTGCTGCTGACTCCACTCAATCGTAAGACTTTCAACTGGTGTGGGGAATTCTGTCTTTCCAGACATCCGAGGAACAGATCTGAGAGATCAGATGTTTTGGAAATAACCCTTTGAAGACTTTCTTTTCTGCCATGAAATGTTTGTATTTATTTTGGTCATTTTTACGAGAAGCACTTTATCCCCTTCCCTCTCGCTGATCACGAAGTGGAACCTTCTTCATGAGTGAGGCAGGGTCACTCTGAAGGAAGTCCCTGTAAGTGACCAATGCAGTGGCCAGTCCCCTCCCCGGAGGCCAGACTCAAATCTCCTCCTTCTCTCAAGGAGACAGAGGTCATCTGTAGGCCAGGTCCCCTACCTCCAGGCTCGCTGCCATGGACAGTTGTGCCTCTCAAGTGGAGCATCCTTGGGACTACATTTTAGACAGAGGAAAATGTACATGAATTGTTTTTTTTTTTTTCTATAGTCTGTATATTTTAAAGTTGGGTTTTTTGTTTTTTTTCCTTTCTGTGTGTAAGGTAGTTTCCATCCCATGTTTTGGGAAAGCAGCCCCCAAGTGTCATAAGAGCCAGCTTAATCTTTCTTTCCTTCAGGATCATCCTTTTGTACTTGATCTGGGAGTTTTTGTGGGGAAACTTCCATACTTCACCAGAAATCCTACATGAGGAGAAAGCACCAGTTTCCTGACACTGGGTTTCTTAGTTCAGTCCACAGTAGCTGTTGTGTTGAGGTCTGAGACGTTTGTTTCTGTTAAGACACTTTCCCAGACTGAGTTCCAGCAGCAAAGGCCCCTCTTCCCCAGTCAGCTCTGTTGCCAGCACTACTTGAAAATGTGGTTACTTTCAGAATAACAGGAAAATAACCGAAAAAGACAGCTAAGGCCAATCCCAGGAAGGAGCCTTGCTCTCCCACATACAGCCGCCACCCACATCTCCAGCTCGGATGGCTGTCAGTCTGACATCACAACAGTGCCCATGGCAACTGGAGGCGCTCCACCTCATGTCTTCCTCAATGGCTTCCTGCCTGTCACTCACTCAGCACAAAAGGGCCCTGGGCAGGAGTGCAGGTTGCTCACGGGTGAGTCCACGTGGCCTCTTCTAGTCCCTTGAAAGCAGCAAGAAGTGAGAGAAAGCAATAACTCACCAAAGCTCAACTCCCATCCTGTGCCAGCCTCCCAGGATGTCCCTTATCTGTGTCCTTCATCTTGCCCCAGACAGCAGGGCACCAGGGCTGCTGAGAAACCAGCCTCTGGACCTCTTGCAGTAGCTCAGGCGCCAGCCTCTCCGGGCATCGTGGCTTCTGATCAACCATCTGCCTTGCCTCTTGCCTTGTGTCTCTACCCTGTGTTCTTCCAGGGAAATCACGGTCTCAGGCCTAGACAGGCAACTAAGTGACTTCTAAGTGACAGTTGCTAGAATTCAAAGGCCGGAACACGGTCGAGTTTATCCCCTTCCAGCTCCTTGTCTGGTCTGTTTCTTACAGTCTTACCTGTTTCTCTTCTCCATTTGATAGATACATCAGCAGAAGCCAGCTGCCTTGATCAAAACCTCATGAGGGTAGTGATGTGATATGCAGCCATGTTTCCAGCAGCTGGGATATGTTCTCTTCAATGCCTGGGGTCCGGAGGGTTTTGCTTGAGGACTAATGTCTAGGAAGGAAGTTGTGTGGCCAGTCCCTGATACCTGCTCCAAGTCCAGCTTAGCTTCACCTCCCTGGTCTCTTAGTCACCTCCTTCCCATGCCTTGATGTTAGTACACATCCTCTTCCCAAAGCCTCTCTACATCTGTGCAGCCTTTGCGTGCCAAACTTGTAAGATACCTTTCACCTTTCCCAGGGCACCTGCTACCAAGTCACCTGGTAGCAAACTCTTGTTAAGTACAGAATGAGACATCTCATAGTCGAGAGCAATCTCACACTGGTTGTGCTATCCTTCTTAAGAGCGCTGCAGAAACCGCTGGGGAGGTTGTGTCAAGGTCCAGCACTTCCAAACGTCAGGGTCTCCAACCTGCACCTCAGATGACAATGATAAAAACACTGGCCAAGGCAGACAGTGTTAATGGCTGCAGCAATCACAGCCAACCTATCAGGGATAAGCAGAGAAGCTGCCATTGAGGCAGGGGCCGAGGGACCACCAACCAGAGGAAGTTCAGAAGGCTGACTGCTGGCACTGTCCTGACCTTCATGTGGCAACCTCAGGAGACTGCTGAGTGGTTCAGTTTCTGCCTCAGAGTATGGATACCTGAAGTTGCTAGGACACCTCATGAAAGGTAGCCAGAACAGGGAAGATTGCTTGTAGGCAAGCTTGTGGTGTGGTCTGATCAAGTCAGAAAGGCAGCAGGACACCCAGGCCTCAGACACTCGGGACTAGCTCCATAGGAAGATGGCGGCAGTCCAGCTCCCTGATACCAAGCTATCATCCCTAAATTCAGGCCTGTGCTCCTGTGGGTAGCTGCTTCTCAGGCACTGGCCCTTTGTGTTGGGCCCCTCCATCCCTGGGGAACACTAGAAGGTCTGTACTCCTACTTTCCACCCACCCCTGCACCTGTTTTCATAACTTACGCACAAATGTGAACACCCAAGACAGGGCTGGATCAGTTCTTCGTTTTGCTCTTTATTAAGTCAAATATTATGAAATATCTAATTATTAGCACCCAAGACAAATAGGAAAAAGGTTTAGATGGGGTTTTATGTGTGTGTGTGTGTGTGTGTGTGTGTGTGTGTGTGTTTTAAGACTATAATCACCTGCAACTGGAGGCCAGGGCTGATAAACGGGTTTGGCCACCAAATGGAAAGCAAGCAAAACCAGACCTTGTGAAGGGAGTATCCCACGCAGTCATGACTACACTACTTCCCAGAGCCAAACGAGGAGTCCTGGAACTGGAGGTGCCATTCAAAGACTCTCGTGACCGTTACACAGCCAGCCCCTGGGTGGCACACAGGTTGAGGGAGCCCACACTTCAAGTCCTCCTTGTTCTGAAGGACACCACCTCACTCTGATGTATTGTGTGTGTTTTGGAGCAGTGTGTTGTGTCTAGTGAGGAACGCTTCCCTACCTCTGTCCTCTCTGCAGCCCGACCACGCGTGCTTCTACTCTAGGAGCCGCGTGACTGTACGTGTGGACCGGGGCGGTACCTGTTCACAGCACAAGTTTATGTTGAGCTCTGAACTGTCATTCACAGCTGCGTGTCTGCATGGTGTCGCATCTGTTGTACCTTCGGGGGAGATTTGTATGTAAATGTACAGAAATAAAAATGTTGCCCCATTAACAGATTTCCTCTGGAATGTCTTCCCTACCTCACCTGATGGTGTCCACGAAGGGCATTTCATGACCACTGAGGACGCGTAATAAAAGCCTCCATGTTGATCAGACCTCCTCGCCTCACTGCTTTCAAGGCTTCTGTCAGCGGCCTTCACCTGCCCTGGGATGGTGGGGCCTCTCATTCTGCTTTAAGAGTCCTAGTCTTAGAGGGCAGTCAGAGGCTGAGATCGGATTAAACTTAAATGTTTATGTGATTCTCAAACCATCTGAGAATTAAGCACATTTAAGAAGAATTTTTTTCTCATTTGTGTTCTGCTAATCCGTGGCCTGAGGATTCCTAGAGAGGTCAAGGAATGACTATCTACACTGTGATTCTGTGAGGAAAGACTGATAATCCAAAACTCTCTTCTCTAATGTAGTATTTTTTAACAAGAAAACAATATTTCTTTAATAAAGCATTTATACCAAACTCTTCTCTCCATAGCTGATTTTGTGTTACTTACTATTCTGTCCTAGAGAGCTATCCACTGGGCTTTCCTCACTGCAGAAACACTGGCTGAGGCCTCAGAGATTGGCATGGAAAGTATGCAGGAGGCAGCCCTTGAACCACAGACATTACTCTTAACCACCCTTATACCTGCCCCTGCCTGGCTCAGTGCAAAACTCTTAGCACTGTGCAAAATAATTATGTCTACCTCTCGACGCAAGAGGGTCCAATGGTGGTCACCTTTTGTAAAAACATGGTTCTCAACACATGAACCTCCGGTGGAAAAATCACAAGTAGAGCCCAAGTAGTAGCCAGGAAAAGGCTAAGGATTAAAAATGGCAGAAGGGCAGGGACTAGGGAGAAAGGAAAGAAAAGGTGACCATTAGAGCAAAGGGGCCTGAGGCATTGGTGTCCATAAAACAAAGTTAAAACCAAGGCTGACATGTGTCACACCCTGTACAATTTGCAAAGCATTTCTACACACTTAACCCAGCAAGCTAGGGATTACTGCCATTTCTCAGATGGAAAGAACAGCCAAAAACCTAGACTCCGCAGAGACCACAAGTATAGAAAGCTGCACTAAGGTTCAAATGTAGCTTTAAAAAACACAAGTAAACCAGGAGGTGGTGGGCGCACACCTTTAATCCCAGCACTAGGGAGGCAGAGGCAGGCGGATCTCTGTGAGTTTGAGGCCAGCCTGGTCTACAGAGCTAGTTCCAGGACAGCCAAAGCTACACTGAGAAACACTGTCTCTCTCTCTCTTTCTCTCCCTCCCCCCCCCTCTCTCTCTCTCACACACACACACACACACACACAGGCACTCAGAAGACTGGCCTATCAGTTCATCAGACAGAAGCCTCTAGATCTGCCACGTGAGCCTCAAGCACAGCCACTGTGGCTCTTGACTCACCGGGAATGTGTGGAACACAGAAGCCACTGATTTAAACTCTTTCCAATTACACTTTTGCCCCTTTCTCTAGCACTGAACAGTCAGAGGTGTCTACTGTCTGCCCCTTTTCTTCTTCCATGCCCGTCAGTTCGAGCTTTGTGAGACCCACACTAAGAGGAGAAAGCCCAGGAAATAAACTCTTTAAAGCGAAGTATGAATGCAGCCTGAGACACAACCCAACCTGTTTATTGAAATGTAATTTATACACAAGTTACACCCTCTTTCTCCTGCCACTCAGAACTTCTCCGGAAACGTCTCCATTTCTTCCTTGATCCTGTTTTCTACGAGTAACGTGAAGTTATTGTCTGTGTTGGGGAGGTTGTAGCTGACAAACACCTGTTTACTGGTCTTCCTGGCTAAAAAGAGAAAAATATGTTGACAGCCACAACCGAAATACCCTGAGTCCATGTTCCACAAACCTGCTTAGAGCTGGGAAGTGCTTAGGAAGAGAATGGGATTTGGAGAAGACTTCTCAAGGGCTGGACATGCAAATGGACATCTAGCCCCTCCTTGACTCGGGAGCAGTGGATTTAGCAGAGGCCTAGCAGCAGCGCTATAGGTCAGGAAGAACTGCAGAGTCTCTAGCCCACCCTAGCTCCTGCAGGGGAAAGATAGTGGTGGGGCCAGCAGTCAGTGCTAAAACGTTCTCAGGTGACCACACACTAGTATCTGAGAACCTCTACCCTACATAGGGTTCCTGGCTTCGAAGGTTTGGGATTCTGTTATTTCAAAAACATTAAAATATTGAAGTTCTCCATCACCACCACCCACCTTTATCATTTTCCACTGTCCTAGGAGTAATGCTTATTTTATGCATGTACATATTTGTATATATGTACACACACAGGCATGCATGTGCATTTTCTAGAACCAATAAACAGGTGAGGCACCGACAGAACTGCAAACATGAAGCTCACTTACATGCCTAGAATCCAGAAGGCAACACCCTGAGCAGAAGCAGGCAGCGAGGGCAGGCCAGGGTCTCATGCAGCAATGCCTGGGCAGTGGCCTGACCTCTTCCCTGCCTCACCCATGCCCAGGGCACCTGTCAGAACACCAATCCTTCCCTCTAGTCTGGTGACCTCACCCTCCTCTCCAGGCAGTAGGGCTGGGGCAGCCACAACACCGTGACTAAAGCCTGCTGTCAGAGATCCTCCTTTGTAAATCGAAGGCAGTTAGGCCTCAGACTCCCAAAGACCTTTTAACTTATTTTCTTCATTAGATATTTAAGACTCTGTGTTTGGTTTCTTTGGGGCTTGTTTGTTTTTAGATAAAGAGATCTTGGGGAACGCCACTGACTGGGCAGCTGATGTGTCTCTAAAAGAGCCCAGCCTCTGCTCTAAGAATAGCTGAGTGGATTGTGTGGCACATGAACTACATCTCAATAAATAAAGCTAGTTTTATTTTGTTCTGGGTTTTTAGTTTTTGGAGACAGGGTTTCCCTGTGTAGCCCTGGCTGTCCTAGGAGTAGCTCTGTAAATCAAGATGGCCTCCAACTCAGCCACCAGCCTCTGCCTCCCAAGTGCTGGGATTAAAGGTGTGAGGCACCACACCCAGCATGTTGTTTTCTTTTTTAAAAAAGAATGTAAAAACATAAATAAGTGAAAGGATGTAGCCAGACATACTGGTGGTACACATATGTCATCTGAAATCCAACAGTTAGGAGGCAGAGATGGGAGGCTAACCCTATGTTCTAGGCCAGCCAAATCAAGACAGACAGACCCCGTCTTTGAAGAAGAAGGGGAGGAGGGCATCTGGACCGAAGTGGTTGTTCAGTTAGCGCAGAAGGCAGTACCTGACAATGGCTTACAACATTTTGTTTGGACTAGCCACCACTTTGCTGCATGCAGTGTGCCCAGGGGTCCCAAACAGTGTTCTGCTCAGCCCAAGGAGTGGAGCAGGGAGACCCAACAAGTCCCCCACCCCCCACCCAGCCATCTCCCCATCCCATTCCCTTAGGTGCAAGAGGGAGCCAGGGAATTGCTAGTTTAGAAAATGATCTGAGAACCAGTCACGTATGGCAAGATAGTGAGATCCACCAAGACCAATGAGAAAGGGGCCATAAAATCACAGTATTAGTCTCTCTTCTCAATGGCAGTGGCATGCCCTTCCCTCTCCCCAAAGGGACCCACTGTACTGTAGCTCCGATCAGTCTAATTGCTAAGGCGGCCACTGCGTCTGTGGCTCAACCTTCCAGGGCCATCTCTGCTCTGAAAGGCAGCCAGAGCTCAGTGTCTCCTCCTGCAAGCAAAGCTATGAGGCAAAGCTTCCATGGCCACTGAGAACCCTGTCTCTTACCCTGCCTGTGGTCATCTTCCATAGACGTTGCTGCAGGTCACCTCTGTCTTTATTATACGTTACTGATACCTGTCCAGGCCCGAGAGACCAGTCAGCCTGGGACTTTGCTTTCTTAGACACAAGGAACCATACCAGGTCACCGAGTTACTTTGCACAAAACCTGGTATTAGGCCTCTATCTCAGAGATATTCTTGAGCCATTTTTGGTATGAAATCATTGGTGGCACACACTAGGATATGTTGAAAGGGCAAAGGCAAGAGAATCATAAATTTAAGGCCAGCCTGGGTTATACCTTCGGGCCTGGAGAGATGGCTCAGCCACTAAGAACAAATACTGTTCCTGCAGAGGACTGGAGTTGAGTTCCTAGTACCTGTGTTAGATATCTCACAACTACCTGCAACCCCAGCTTCAGAGGATTTAACTCCTCTGGCCTCCAAGGGCACTGCGCTCACATGCACAAACCCATACTAAGACATACACATACATGCATTAAAAATATCATCTTTAATTTAAAAAAAAAAACAAAACTTTTATTCATGGCATGCCAGACAAATTTTTGCCACCCTTCTCTACTAGGGACAGTCACTGCAGCTCAACCCAGCATCCTGTCCCCATATATATGGATACTTCCCTCAACTCTGTCAAGGGGACATGAGCACACAATAATCTGCTTGACATAAATGTATTAGCACTTCTGTGTTTAAAAACACACAAGGAAGCACTTAGAGGCAAAAGAGTATCACGTCCCCCACTGACTTTCGCCGGGGAGAAAATGTGAACACCGAAAGGGCAGGGCAAAAACTAGAAGCCTTGGTATAGATGCAACAGAAATTCTTTCCTACAAACTCAAAATTACTTCTATTTGTTTCCAGCCTAAGACCCTGAAAGTTCCTGTGTCCTCTGTTCTCCCTGGCCTCTAACCATAGACTACGACAAGTCTGGAGCCTTCCTGAATTGGAGGTGTTCCTCCTGGCTGTGTGCTAGTTGCTCATGTGTAGGTGACTGAAAGTGACAGACTTTCCTACTTATCAAGATCATACAATTTTCTTTGTACAACTCCAAACACAACTGATATATCCGTTTCTTAAAACTGGTGATTGGGCTCTTTCCCGTCACATCCCCCTGGCTAGGATTCAGGGGGACCCTGGCTGGGATCACTGGGCTCAGAAATGGCTAGGGATGCTGGAGAACACCAAGGCTGAGCCACTGATGAGGACCCCCTGTGCATACAGCCATGGGCAACTGGGGCTGGAGATCATAAAGCACAAGTTATTCTTACCTAAATCACCTGTGCATTTATAATAAAAAAAAAAATAAAAAATTTTAAAAAAAGGCACACCTGGGAAGAGCGGGGCCTTCAATCTCACGCTTTTGGGTAAACACCCACTCTACTGTGCACTCACTTTCCGAAGCTCTGGCTGTCATACTGAGCCTGAGAAACAGTCCTTCCTGCCACAGGCTCCACAGACATTGCCATAGGCTCCACAGGGAGCCACCCTGAGCAGCTGCCCCTGGGAAGGATTCATTCTCTCCCACAAGGAGATGATACGCTCATTGAAAGAAAATAAATCAGCTCGTGGATTCAAGTGGGGAGCCAAGAAAGTCGTGGGAGCTTCCAAAAGTTCCCTGGGACCATGATACTGAGACAGCGGACACAGGGACAGGTAGATGTGTCCCATAAAAAGACCCAAAGGACAGAGGTCTGCTTCCAACAGTAATGAGGCACTTGTCCCTA